AATACAGAATTGGAGGGGTGGGGAGTCAAGATGCAGTAAAGCTTATTAAAAATCCAGAGCTGCAAGGTTCCACCAAGTCTATGAAGCCATGCTTCCCAGGATCAATGTGAGATACACAGGGCGCACGTGCAAAGCTATGCACCACTCAAAACTGGCTGGTTGATCACTTCACTTTCCTGCTTGGCAACATGACTGAGTACCTTGCAAAAGCCAGCGAGTCTGATACACCTCTGGATTGGCACCAACTGGCTGTCCCCATGCCCTCTGGTTTCTACCCACCATTCAGAGGGAAGGGGGATGTACAGCACCAGCTGGGCCCATGGAAACACCATCCAAAACCAAAGGACAAAGGCTGGGGTGTGATTCAGTGGGAGGGTGTCTGCCTAGCATGTGTGAAGGGTTCACTCCCCAGCACTGTAAATAAACAAACAAATAAGAGAAGACAAGCTCACTGAGAAGACCAGTCCCTAGAATCCCTAGAACAAAATAAATTATTTAGTTTTTTCTTCCCCTCCCCTCCAATACTGCAGATTGAACTTAGGGCCTTTTCACTGAGCTACATTTGTAGCCCTTTTTAAAATTCTGAGACAGGGTCTTGCTAAGTCACTACATTACCCAGGCTAGGTTTGAACTTGCAATCCCCCTGCCCTGGCCTTGCAGTGTTGGGACTGCAGGCCTGCGCCACTATGCCCAGAAATAGTTATTTCTTCAGAAGTTTCCAAGGCATCAAAGTTTTCCCACTACTTGTGTGTGGGAAACTAACAGACTGGAGTTAACAGTGTTTTTTCTCAAGGAGCCTGCATGGAACAGGCAGGGAAAGAAGAGACAAATGTGAGGTCACCGGAGATTTGTCCTCATCTGCCTGGGTCAGGAGAATAACCACGCTTTCCTTTCAGAGGACATTCTTCTGCAACAGGTCTCACTGGAAGAACACTCTTCATAACTATTTTCCAGCTTCACCTCACGACCTCATCTCTCTGCATCTTCTTCCTGGACACAGTGACATTCCTGGTTGTCACATGCTCTGGGCTTAAAGACCTGCTCCCTGTCTGTACCATCTTCCTTCTCCCTCAAGCCATGCTGAGCGTCAGGCGGCATTTGAGAAGGTTCAGGTAGTGGGCCTCTGCTATGCAGTGCTCTGTACCTGGTAGGGCTCAAGTGGCATTAAGTTTGAGCCATATGTTTACGTAACGAGAACAAAAGATACTGAGAAATGATCCCGTTTAACAACACAGCAGAAACCAGCTTCACACCTCATAGCTGAAATGCACAAATGTCAAGCAGCAGAGAGAGGTTTGTAGGAATTGGAGGATTCTGGTACCCTAAATGCTCTGGAAAGGCTCCCCCAACTCTGAACAAAATATAGAAACAAGAATGACGCTGAAAGAAGGGCGTCACTGCAGCGTGTGTCCGGCAGACACCGCCTCTAACACGAAAGCCAGTCTTCCGTGGGAACCTGTGTAGGGGATCTACAAAATGAGCCAGGTGAGTTTTTTCTTCCAAGAGTTAGAAAAAAGGCTGGAATGAGAAGAGTCTGATAAAGGTATAAACCAGAAATGATGAGAGAAAATAGAGCCATGACAACGCTGGTCCTTCCCCGGCCTGGGAGCACTGCCTTCCTTCCAGCAATGTGTAAGGAACTTCAACGTAAGGGCTCCTTTCACAAAGTCCTCAGGCCAACACAAGGGAAAGGAAGCCCTTTCAACTAGAAGCCCCCTTTTCAGTCTCCAAATATCAGTAACAATTTGAGGCCCATCTGCAGTTTGCCCCCAGCACTGCTTACAGAGGAGGTGAGTGGAGAGTGAGCAAAGACAGCGGGAGGTAGGGGATGGGAGACTGCCGCCTCTTGCAGCCTCAGTCAGGGACTGCAGGGGTGGGGAAGTGGGCTACTCCGGGCAGTGGCCTGGCACAAACAGCCAGCCTCACCTTCGGGAAGCCCGGCCCCTAACCCGTGTATCATTGGGCACACAGATGGGCAGGGAATTTCACACTAGAACTATTCCTGGACCACAGCACACTTTCTCTCAACCCAAGAGCCTGCCACCTCCTTCCTTCACTAGAACACAAAAAAGCCAGACTGCCTACAGGTGAAAGTGGCTCTCAGTAGGGGGAAGAGGCAGTACACTCACAGAAGCAAGTCACTTCTATTCCTAATAGGAAGGTGATTATTCTCACTTCACAGATACAGAGAATAACACAGAGTACACAACTACAGACAGAACGATTTTAGAACATGCCTGACTACATGGCAGCAATCTTCCAAATTCCACATAGAGAAATCCAGCAGATTTGCAACTGAGGGGTATCTGTTCTGGTCTGTCTGACACACATGCACACACCACACATTTGTGGACAGGGTGTGTGTGTGTGCTGGAGACTGAACCCCGGATCTTCACACTGAGCTAAATCCCCAGTTCTCACCCTCAAATTCTGAGACAGAATCTCACCAAGTCACCCAGACTGGGCTTGAATGTGCAATCCTCCTGCCTCAGCCTCCTAGAGTTCTGGGTTTACAGGTATGTACTACCACACCCAGCTACATATCACTGTTTAAAAGTGGCTGTCTTCATTCATTCATTTAGGACCAGAAACATAAATAAGACACTTGTTTTTTTTTTTTGAGACAGGGTCTCGCTATACATTTCAGGGTGTCCTTGAACTCACTATGTAGCCCAGGCTAGCCTCAAACTCACAGTGATCCTCTCACCTCAGTCTCCTGAGTGCTGGGATTATAAGCGTGCTATCTGGTAAATATTATACTGGCAAATAAGATACATCTGCCGAACAAGAACAACAATAACTAAAGCATCATTTGTTTTAACACTGATACTCCAGGGAATCCTAAGCAAGGAAACTGTAATTGATAAATTCTATTAAACAATGATCTGTAGCAGTGCCTGTTACTGAGTGAAAGACAGGAAGAATAACACAGGGCTTCACCCTCTACATGGCTTTTTAATTCCAAGAAATAACATTATGCCTCAGAATTAATAGTGTGATGCCAGCATCTCATGGGTCAGCATTGCACTGCTCTTGTTCTGTGAATGGACAACTGTGGCTACCCCGATTTTGGCTTTGATGCCTTAAGGGAAGGCAGTATGCCTATTTCTTTAATTTCTACAGTGTGTAAGACACTAAGCACCGTAAGGACAAAGCAGACACTAACTGCACAAGGTCTTTTGTGAAAGGGAGAAGACGAGATGCTGGCTAACTCGCTCCTCTATACGGTGTGCAGAATGACAGGTCTGGAGTGTTTTGCCCCACTTGACCACATTACTGACCCACTGTACAGGCCAGGTGTTACTAAAGGTTAGCAGTGGGGGATCCTTCACTGGAGACATAGCAGACAGCACACTAAACAAACTGCAGAAAACAAAAGATTAACTTGAGATTTGCGCTCCTTTGCTGATGCCTAGGGTAGAAACAGATCTCTGACTGCTTACATGTGTTTAGGTTCTAATTCTTAGAAACTGACCTCTCAGTACCATGATATAAATCAAATCAACCACCTCACTTGCTTACAGGCCTTCAGCAGCTTCCTATTGTACTTACAATCACACCCACCTCTGGGCGGCTGGCAGGCCACGGTTCTTGCCTGTCTTCACCTGCCCGTCTCCCCTCACTCTCTATGCCTCAGTGCTGCTGGCTTCCTTGATGTTCTTTCGACACATGCAGCTCTCGCCTGCACCAGGCCCTCACTCTTTTTCCTTTTCCCTGAGTAGTCGTCAGACTTTCTGACAGCAGCTCCAGCTCACCCTGTAGAGCTCAGCTCCAGTATCTCCTCTCTGGGGAGGCCTTTCTTAGCCATCTCATCCAAAGTGACTCCGTTCGAGCCCTACTACTCAGCACATCTACCAGCTAATTTGTCACAGGCTTTCTGGGCTCTAAAATGATCTTATTTATCTCTTTTTTTGGTCTTTTTGAGACAGGGTCTCGCTATGCAGTTCAGGCTGGCCTTGAGCGCACTTTGTAGCCCAGGCTGGTCTCGAACTCGCAACGATCCTCCTGCCTCAGCCTCCAGAGTGCTGGGATTACAGGTGTGCGCCACCACACCCAGCTTGCATTTTTTATAAGCAATCTCGGCTTCTACATATAAATCTCCAGAAAGCAGGTGACTTACTTGCACTACCCATCAGCACATATTAATACCTTGAGTTAATGTTAGAAAATTCAGGGGCAGCAGAGCAGCAGGCACTGAGTTAAAGTAAAAAACATCAACTCTCCCACAGGGAAGCCAGAAGCTGCTCCACGATATATATATCTTTACTTCATTAGGGTGGATCCAAGTGGTGATGGCATATACACAGAAGAGGGAGAGCCTACGCTCTACCCTCTCTGCTGACAACTCAGAAAGAAATGTCAAAAAGAGCAAACTCATGTTGGTTCCAACTTTCCCTCCATTTATAATGCCATTGGTGTTTAAAGCAGATTTTCTCTCTTCTAGCAGAGTCCAAGGTTTGGTTTCATTTCTCCCCCAAGGCTGCAGCTCTGCCCCTACTGAGCCAGTACTCTGACTCTACTCGGTAATGCTCACTCCAGGCTGCCTTGGGTAACCCAGGCCTTCACTCTAACCGAAAGGGGCTCCCTTAAAATACCTACTCAAAGTAGCTGGGGTAGAGGCCTCTCATTCTAACCACCTAAACATGAAGGCAAAGCATATGCAAGAAGTGGGTTCCTTCTCACAGTACCTCAGCACAAAACATGCACCTCCCGTAAAGGAAAGTTAACAGAGCACAGAAAGCCTCTGAAAGGTGCAACTCACAAAAGGGATGATTCACTGGCACCTTTTCAGCTGAGGCTGTTTGTCTCACTGAATGAGGACAGTTAACTTAACTATTTAGGGGCTGAAGATTCCTGAGGTTGTAAAAGCACACAGGAGAGAACCATGAAAAAAAATCAATCCAGTCACCCTTGTCTAACATGAGATGCTTCCAAGCACACTGGGTCCACACAACCACGCCCTACAGGCAACTCTGTCCACTGCTGAGAGAGGCACTTACGTGGCATGATCCCTTGGCTCACCAGCTCTTCTCGGGTGCGGCGCTGCTGGAGCTTCAACTGCAGCACTGCAGGGCAGCAAAGACAGAGGAGAGACGAAGCATCAGTTGGGTATTCCACCTCAAAAGACACATTTTTACATGCAAAGAAAATCTAAAAACAGAAGGGCGTTGCATGAAAGAAAGAGCCCTTCAACTGCAACTGTGTGTAATTGCAGAAGTGGCCTGATACAGCATGGTTTCCGTATTCTGCTGTGGGCGGCGAGAGGAAGTTGCGAAGGGTCTTGCAGGGTGATAACAATCCACAAAGTTTGAGAGTCTTGCCTCTTGCTCAAAACCTCCTACAACACTAGGTCCTCCTCTAAGACTGAAAAACACCAACTCTGAACTCAAAGAAAATATCATCATGAGGACCAGCACCCAGCAGAAAGAGCTTTCCAAACGCTGTGTGCTTTCTTGGTGAACATTTACACTGTAAGGATGGTGGGTGATGCAGTTACTCTTGGGGACCGGGAAGTACTGGATATTTGTAAAATATTTTCTTTTGTATTTGAAAATTATAGCTATTTTCACCAAGCAATGCATTTCTCTAGACTGTAAGATATTTTACCATTAATACACTTTATTTCCTCTTCTCACGAGGCCCTTTTCTGAGTGAAGCAAGGTGCCTTTTCATACAAACTAGATGACTCAAGCACATCCGGACTAGCAGAGAGTAATGAATGTTTCTCCTACTTCTACTCTAGAAACACTAAACAACGTAACAGGAATTTTTATTGTTAAAAATCAACTTTCCCTATTTCAAACCCAGTGGAACCTGGTGGATATAACAACTGCACACTACGTAGACTGATGATGGCACAGCCACTGTTCAGAGACTACGTGAGAAGTTCGGAAAGGGGTTAAGTGGATCCACAGGCAAAGGGAAGTCCCTTTCATGACAGGTCTCCAACTGCAGGGGCCCTGCAAGTCCTGTCTGAGGGGAACCTGCACCCACTGGGAGTCACAGTGCCCTAATTTAAGCCTTTTCCACAGAGCAATTTTTAGGGAGGTCTCTGAGAATGGGAGACCCATAACAAGGCTCCTGCCTACATCTCCAACGTTTTACTTTTTTTAATTTTTTGGTTTTTTTTCCGGTACCAGGAATCGAACTCACGACCTTGCACTTGCCAGGCAGGCGCTGTGCCGCTGAGCTAAATCCCCAGCCCCGTCTCCAACGTTTTAGTTCAAAGTAGAACTCATCGTTCTCCAAAACGCTTAGCCTGCTTTCCATCTTCTTACCTCTTCAGGTGTCACTCACTGCCTTCCCAAGTACTACTATGCATGTCTTAGCCTGCTTTAACTCCTCCACTTCCCCACTCCTCTTAGCGATTTTACCTCCCATGCTCTCCCATGCTGCAGTGGTAGCTCATGGCCACGTCCTCACTTGGACGGTGCTGCTCCTAAGGCATCCCCATCACAGCTGCCTGATACTCTTCCCCAAGTATGATGAACCTTTTCCCGCCTCTTTTATTCTCTTCACCTGGAAATGCCCACCTTCTTTATCTGGTGACAAGTATTGCTAAGTCCATTTTAGAGAGGAGAGCGAAGCCCAGAGGCATTAAGTAAACATGATTTGAGGCCAAATATTCTGATTCCAGAACCTGAGCTCCTCACTGTGCTTTTCCAACATCTTCTGGAAACTTACTATACTGAGCTAACAGGGCTGACATGTGAATACCTTCGTTCATTCTCTGTCACCAGAGACAGCACAAAAGGGCTGAGGAAATGGCTGTTTCAGACCAGGGTCAAAGGAGTTCAGATGATCGACTTCAGGAAATACATTTAAATTAATTTAGGAATTTGATTTCAGAATAAAACAACAGATCAGCAACAATTATTCTGATAAAATATAAATAGCATTAGGAGTCACTGCATATGTTATGATGTATCAGACTCTGTGTTAAATGACCAATGTGCCTTTAATCTTTTGTAAAGGGGGCGTACAGCTCAGAGGTAGAGCACTTGCCTAGCATGTGTATTGCCCTGGGTTCCAGCTCCAGCACTGGAAGGAAAGAGAAACAAAGCAACAAAAGCCATATGAGGATGGTATAATTATTATCTACATTTTACAGAAGAGGAAACTAAAGAACAGACCTTTAAAATGTTGCCTTGTGTCACATAACTCCAAAGTGCTGGAACTACAATTAACCCTCAGATCTCTGTAACTCCAAAGTATGAGTAGTTTATAGTGTGCAGTACGTCTTTGTAGGAAAGAAAAGGGAAAGCCCAGCATGAGAAAGGAGAAAAGCAATAAAAGGGTAACTATTTGTCATAAAGCCCAGTGTAAGATACACTACTTGAAAATGATTAAATTGAACAAATTAGTTTTATTTCAGGTTATAGGCAAACAAGGCAATTCAATAAGCCTATTTCAAAGAAACAATACGTAATGAAAGCAGTGGCTATTACCCAAGAATAAGTTTGAAGTATCAATCAGTAATCCTCCTAAGTAAATCGTATACGGACAGGGTTACGAGGGCTATTATGCATACTTGCTCGGTGAAAAATTCCTGGCTTCACAAAAATAAGAGACTCTATGAAAGCTAACATGCTTGTTCTTTAATCAATTTCTTTTTTCTTTTTGTTTTGTTTTGTTTTTTTCCAGTACCAGAAACTGAACTCATGACCTTGCTCTTGCCAGGCAGGTGCTGTACCGCTGAGCTAAATCCCCAGCCCTTCTTTAATCAATTTCTGATTCAAGTTTTTCATGGAAAGCACAGTAAAGGTCCATTCAGATATACACATAGCTCTAGTTCAAAGAGGAAAACTCAACTAATAAACCTTTTCAATTTCTAAAACTAAAGGATATTAAAGTTCAGTTACCTGAAAATTCCATCTTTTATCTCCCAGAACTGAATTCTTAACTCCATGCTTATCTAAAATCTGACTAGTTTCCCATTAAAACAGATTTTACTATGTCTCAGTGTTGTCTTAAATACTGCTTCAACCTGACTGCAGGCGCGTACGACGTTCCACAAGCATCTCCAGTTATCTCTGATGATGTTTATATGCAGGGGGAAAGACTGAAGCAGTAAACTCTCACTTATGGCTGTTACCCTATTCACTTTATAATTTCCTTGGCTGTGTACATTTTCACTGATCCTTCTTCTATGACTTTCAATTACAATGAGATAGCATTTCTATGAATTTCCTTCTTCCTTAGTTATCTTTCAATCCCTTTTAATTCTAAGCACTCTCAATAAAATGACTTTATACTTCCAGGCCTTAGGAATTATTTTAGAAAAAATAATTTAATAGCTCATTTTCAGGACATTCTACAGAGCCGTATGTTCTGTGCTCACTGCAGAAGTCACCTCAGTCAGGAGCGTATTTCAGGGACCACAACTTTAATGTTCATCCATTCTCACACACTCACACACACACACAAAATATATACATATGAAAACCAGTTCAACTGATTATTTTCACAGACAATGCAAGTCCAGGAGATTGGAGGGAGTAAGAATTTGACATAATCAATTTGACTGTACATCACTACTTAGATTTCCTCACCATATCCCAAGTCAATAAACACTGAACAAAAATACCTACTTGTGCACAAGCCTGAGTCTTTACACCTTCACTGTTACTGAACTCCACAAATTTCTGTATCATCTGTTTCTAAATGGGTCTGTGTGAGCAGCCTATATACAGATGAACAGATGTCTTTGAAGCTGATGGATGGTGACTCAACTGAGCTGCCTGCCAGAAAAAAATGGGAAGAAGAAGAAAAGAAACAAAAACACACAGTGGGAACCCCCAGGCCAGTGGTGTGAACGCATGGCATGCGTGCCGCAGCAGACTGTTTATATCACTGAAAGCTCTAAAAGGTTTGCCATCACTGCCCCAGGCGCTCCATTCTCCATGAAAATTATGGTTTTCAAAAAAAAAGAAAAAGAAAAAAAAGAAAATTATGGTTTTCTCCTGCCCTGAACACTTTTTCCCTTCTAGCCTTCATACAGCAGCCCCAGAAAAAATAAATCCAACTTAATTCAGCAATGGACACCACTACCCCTAGCTTCAAACTGGAAAATTTACTAGGAAGACAAGAGAAGGCAAAGTTGGGTTTTAACCTTATGGGAAGCTTAGTATGATAATAATTAGAATACTCCTCTTTGCAACAGTGAATTATACCTATTTTATTGGTTTGTTTAATTCTATATGCCTAAAAAAATCACTTAGCAACATCCAAATAGTAAAAACAATCACTCAGAAACAGAGGCAATTCTGAACACTCACTAGTTTCATTCTCAGGATGTGCAACTAAGGAGGTGAAAGGTACCCCCAAAAGAGGCGATTACCCTGGTTCTGCTGCCTGGGTTACTTTCTAGCATCATCACTACTGGAGGGTGTGGGAGTTGAGGTGGGGAGAGTGTTGCCTATTCAATCACCTGATAGGAATCTACTCAACAACCTATGGCCTCTGTTCATATGAAGCTTTCAGTACAGTGGGGAAACAGACATCAATGACAGCAAACAAATATGCACAAGCTGTGATAAATGTTTTAAAGGAGAGAACAAACTATATGAGAGATCAGACACTAGAATCCACAGTAGTTCTTCCTTTAATGTTCTGTGATAACTAACTCTTCCCATTTACCCTTTGCCCATTATACAGTCAACTGTTTTAAGATACTAAAGCTCTTTGAGAAATAAACTTGAAAGGAAGGCCAAGGAATAAATTAAAGCACACAAACTCACTTATTCGCACTGTTACATTTTTATTTGTGTAGCTGCTAGGGTTAGGGAAGCAGTGGGTCTGTGTGTCTTTGCCTCAGATCCATGCTGTATTCAATTCTCCCCTAGCTCTTTAACAAAGCTTCTCTTCGTTAGTATTCATTACAGAAATATGAGGGTCCACTAAATGCCAGACTCTGCTTGTAGCTAGAGATGACAGATACAGCCCCTGCTCTAGTGGTGTTTACAGTTTCAGAAGGAACAAACATCAGAGCAGCACTAAGAAGTATAAAGAATATTTTCAAAGATAACAGATACTGCATCTGAACTAAGCAGGGAAGACCACTCCC